TCAGGCCAGAGCCTTAACCACAGACCTTACACATAGCTCCCTCTTTCTTATCAATAGTTCTTTTCAGGAGATGGTTGGCAAGCCCATTCTTCCTTGGATGTCTTTGGAGGAGGGGAGTGATAAGAATAAAACAGGCCTATTTCTCCTTTTAGGATCTCTGTGGAGCATCTATACCCATTCTTCTCCAGAGGAAGAGGATACCTCTCCATTTGCTCCTCCTGAGCATCCAGAGGGCCTCTGCCTTCTTCCTATTCCTAGGTGGGTTTGACACAGGGAAGGTTCATGGTGGCTTTGTTCAGGACATGGCAGCTCAGCAGGTCTGACAAGCTTAGATCACTGCTCCTGCTCCACTATGCAATGAAATGTGGAATCTGCTGCAGAATCTAAGTGTTATTTTAAGATGAAATAAGTTCATAACCCCTATATCTGCAAACAATAGTTATTATCCACAATATGGGACAAAGTACCAGATGTTGCCAAGTGGGCTGTGGGGCAGCTGTCAAGAGTTGTACAGGTGGGAATCTAAGGGGAGTTAAGTTCAACAGAAGCATTAAGTCACATCCACCAGTGCCCTGAAGGGGACAGGTAAAGAAGAGAAGCACCCTCCTCCTTAGTGCCAAAAAGCTTCAGCATCCTCAACGGTGCCCAAAACCTAAACCAACTTCTGTCCCTTCCTGGATGCCCAAAGTATCTCGTGAAAACTGGTGCAATGCTTTTGTGTGTTGTCCAGACAAAAATACGTGGCATACGGAAAATTTAGGAGCAACATAACGTTAAAAACATTCCAAAACTGAGATTTGTATTGAGTTTAATATTCAAATACAAGTAGGGTGACCCAAAGAACACTAGACTGATCATGCCTAATTCAATAAAACCTCTATTCATTTGAAGCTGCAGCAAGAAGTGTCCAAGTGGCACTGAATTCAGCCTTTCTGACCTGCAGCAACGAGGGTGTCTTGTCCCATATTCACAGGCCTCTACTAATGGAATTCATGCTCTCCGTGGGCCTTGTTTCTGATGTATATGTGGTAGCCTCACAGTTGCTGTTTGTCCTGCAGAGCAGTTTTATATTTTTACTCACCCGTGTTCAACACACAATTGCCGTCGTTTGATTCAGGGTTTTGAAGAAATCATATCAGCACATGAACTGGAACAGTCTCGATGGGTTTTTATTTTGCGGATTAAATAAATACTTATGGAAACGAGGATTAATAATGAACTTGGATAATTTTACACTCCCTCCCTAAATCCCCCCCGCCACTCAGGTGTCTTTCATTTCCTGCCCTGATGTGTTGGGTGCTGCTGTGTGTGGTGAACAGCAACCGCATTTCACCTCAGAGGTGGCTGCATTTCATAAGCAGATGAAGTGAGTCCTGTATAAAGTTCATGTTAATTTAAGTTCGCAAAGTGATTTAGAATTCTTTGAGAATTTACTTCTGTTATTAACGTTTGGCTTGTGCTTCACTGCTTTTGCTGAATCGGGGCTTCAGTCCTGATTTGCAACACCTTTGTTGTTACAGTCCCAGGGTTCTCTCTAGCAAAGATTGTCAAATTCAGTTGAACTACACAAAGCTACATGGTAATTTTGCAATGTGAACATGGGAATAGGGTGAAACCACCAAACACATTTATATTTGTAAACTAATCTACCTGTGGACTCAGTCAGGTTTTCATTTCTTGTAGACCTATTAGCCCATTTTCTGCCCTATCTAGAACACAACAGGTTTTTAAAATTGTACTGTACCTGCAGTCCGACCCTTGCCAAATCTCATAAACTAGGCATAGGCAGGTTGTGTTCATATTTGGACGAGCAATCTTGGGGAGAACACTCAGGTACTGCTGGAAGTGGTGTTGATTAAACAGTTTGCAATCTTCCCTCAGAGATGGTACAGAGCCAACACCCCAGCATGATTTTAAGGGACAGAGTACTACAGGAGCTGTCATCTTTTGGATGATGTATAATGCCTCTGTCTTCACAAGATGTGATTATTACAGAGCCCGTGGCATTTATCAGGAGAGTAAGGCTTTTACCTACTGTGTCCTGGATAATTTCCAAACTGAGTAATTACATTCCTCCTACCCAATTCCCCTTGAAGTTCCAGCTGGATACTGTATTTGCCACCTCCTGTCCTAAACCATTGGGTTGAGTTGTGCACTATTAGACAGTTGTAGTATTTCAACTATGTAGACAGGAAGGATGACCCTGAGGTCAGGGCTCTAACCTGGGACGTAGAAGATCCAGGTTCAATTCCCTGCTTCACCCCAGACTTCCTCTGTTATCTTGGGCAAGTAACGTAGGGCCAGATTTTTACATTTATTTCATTGGCTAAAGATGCAGATAGACACCTAGTGGGATTTTCAAAAATGCCTGGGTGCTTAACTTCCATTGATTTCAGTGGAGAAAGGCTCCGGTAGTTGGGAGCTGCAGGGAAAGGCTCCGGCAGAGATAGCAGGGAAAGGCTCCGGCAGCAAGGAGCTCCTATGTGCAGTCTTTTCCCGCTACCACCCCCCGCCAGAGCCTTTCACTGCCACATGTAGCTACACACCGCTTTTCACTGCTGCGTGTAGCTAAATGTACTCTACATTCCACTATCAGTGTGGACAAGGCCTACAATTGCCAGAACACATTTTCATACAGTCAGTGAGAAAGTCTGCATGAGCATCTGGATGAAAAGTGTGATAGATATGCAAGATTGTCATCAGTATAAAGGTTTTCTGCCAGTATTTCTGTCCAATAGGAATTAAGATGAATTATCAATAAATACAGACAAAAGCTATGAAATGAAAAATAAAACTGTATTATTATAAACTGAGCTCTTGATTTTCCCTATTTATCTTTCTGGTCCTGTTCACCTACTAATCCATTTTGTTTAGTAAAAATGGTGAATAAATGTCTGGGGCTTGATTACTGAGAAAGGCTATTACTGTATTGGCTCCAAGTGCTCTTTAGGGAGTTAAAATGGTTCCTAACAATAAAGTATGAAGGTTTCTTTCAAATTTGCAGTCCTCTGCCTTTATAAAGTTTGTTTCACTTGCCAACATTTCAATTATTTATGAAAAAGTTTAAGTATCTTATTCTTGCTCCTCCACAATGGATGGGATTTTCTTTAAAACAATGTCATTATCTTGAGCACAATAAATAAAGAGTTGCATTAGAAGATTCAGCTTTTAAAATAATAGTATTTTTTTTTTAGGGGCATCTGGCCTCATTTAAACCATCAAATTTACATTCAATTCCTTCAGGGATGGTTTCATTGCTTAATGCTGGCTTGGTGCCCTTTGAATAAAGCCCAGGATTTAATGCATGCCACCACGTTTCACTAGCTGTATTGCTGTTCAGTACAGATGTACAGCAGGGGTATAAAAAAGCCTAAACCTTGGACTCCAAAACAAGAAGATTCACTTATGCAACTGTAATAGAATAGACTTCAACTAGGGGGTACACCCGTGACATATGTCATTCTCTATTTATTCTTCATTTGTAGAAGTGTTTATAAAATATTCTGAGAGCGCTAGACAGGAAGTTATAAAATATTTTATGAGATCTGCACATGACTGATGGCAGAATGTCAGTACAACAATAAGGTCCCATTTAAATTCAAAGAGTGCTGGAAAATAATTCTTTGCAGAGTGATCTTCGTTTGATCAGTGGTACTGTATTTGAAAGGCATTACTTGTGTCCGATCCTGCAAAGTGCTAAACATCTCCTGAGAAGTTCGGAGCATCATCTGTCAGCTCACGCTGACTTCCGTGGGAGCTACAGAAAGACGAGTGACAATTCATACTGCATGTGGAGACCAGGCGATCGCTAATTAGAAATGCACTTTGTATTTAAATAGCTTTTTCCATCTAAAGATTTCAAATTGATTTATGAATATGGCCATAACTTTTCCTGTTTCACTGGTAGGTAGATTGAGGTACGGAAAGATGAGGTGACTCGGCCATGCTGCAAGTCAGAAATCGAGCGATGAATAAAACCATTGTTTCCTTACTCCCAGCCCTGTTCTCTTCTCATTAGATACACTGGGTATAATCCTGGCCCCAGGAAGTCAATGGCAAAACTCCCATAGACAGGCTTTCACCCACGGTCTCCCCCTTGTTCGGGTAATTTATAGCATGACGACTGACCTACAAATACTGATTCTAATAACAAAATCTGTTATGAGAATCAACATTATTTACCAATTAAAATGATGCAAAACAAAGCTGTTAATATATGGCATTTAAGTTGATCCTAGGCTAGCAATTTTCATAAGTGATACAAAATCATACCATATATTACCTTCTTAATTTTTGTTTAACGTTCATCTTTTTTCCATGCGGCATATTAGGGTGCTGTTACAGAAAACTGCATCAGTGACACTCACTAACACTGCCCTCATTTACGTTAGGGAAGGAATCAGAGAAAGGACTGTGTAGTGACAAGAAAAAAAAATAAAAAATGAATATTCCCCAATTATGTGACTATCTAGCCTAGTCCAAGATAGGGAGACATAACCTACCTTGTTTTATTCTAAATTCAGCTCGCTGGCTTCTGGAGAGAAGTGAAAGGTTATTATATGGGTTTACTGGGAAAACCCAGATTTTATAAATAATTGCCTGTCAAACTGTTCAAGATAGACAAACATACAGCAGACCAACAAAAACATGATCTGTCATATTTCTGAGAGAAATGTATGTTGAGTCTTCATTCTCTGGGACTTTAAGTAGACCAGTAAAAACTAAGCGCCAGTATTTTTCCTTCTTATGCATATTTTAAAATGTAAAATGTGGGAGAGATACAGCTAAGGAAGGAATTTGGATTCCAGTACCCAGAGCCTGAAATGGTTTCTTCTGTCTATATGCCTGAAGATCGAAACCAAATACAATAAATGCTGGTGTCCTTTTAAAAAGTCTGGATGTTTACAGCAAGCATATAATTTTCCATGATTAGGGACGCCAAGAAAAATAAGAATGATGATAAAAAGAAAAGTTTAATCATACATTTCAACAAGCACAGATGGAACATCAGAAAACTTTTTTCTTTTTTAATATACTGTATTGTACACATTATTTTTAGTCCTTTACATACAGATTAATTCCAGAAGGACTGGCATGCAGCAGGTAAAAAAGGAGGCAGTTTATGGATGGCAGAAATATTGGATGCACTGTGATTACATTTACAATGCTTCACAATTTGTTGATCACAAGGAAGAGACACGTTTTTAGTTTAATTTTTTTTCGCAAGTGGGTCCAGGTACTGTCCAATGAAAACGTTTATAAAGTATAAGACTGTATCAGAGAAGTGGCAGGAGTTGAAACCTCACATACTAAGCACAAAGGAGGAGACTGCTTACACTATATAGAAGTAATGCAGACAGTTGATCTCCTAGGTCTCCTGAGTGTTCTGTCTTTCTTAAAGGTTTACTTTAGTCTTTAAGGCCCTGACTCTGCTCTGGGATACACTAGCACTGACTTCTGTCCCAACGGGATGCCATAGGGGCACAGTAGCAGATTCTGATGCAGAATCTGGGCCTAAGCCTTTTTGTCTCCTCAAGCGTGACCTTGGTTACTTCTATATATGTACACTTTCCATGGGAAGAAATGAATGTGCTTGTGAGGATATCAAAGACTGGAAGAGCAGAGAAGGGAAGAGGGCTAAAGGGAGAGTTAGAGTTTGAAGAAACAAAACAAAACCCCAAAACAAACAAAAAGAAAAAAAGAACAAAGTGGAGCAACAGAAATTAAAAATAAATAAGGGCCTGGATTTTCTCCCATTAACATTAACAGGATCAGGTCCCTACAGCAGAGCACTTAAGCAGGGCTGTAACTTTAAGTACTTGAGTAGTCCCATTGAAGTCAACAGAGCAATATGCTTAAAGTTATACACGTTTAAGTACCTTGTGAACTGGGGCCAAAAGGACAGATCCAATGATCATTAAAGTCAAAAGAAAGACTCCCACTGACTTCAAGGGAGAGAAGAGAATAAGAAAAGAGATTTCAATATTAAGAATTTACAGATTTCAGTATAGATGCTCCTTGGGACTCTAAAAATACTAATATTTAACTGAAACAAGAAGACCAGAAGTCATTTACTTGAAGTCTTCCTATCTGAAAAGCCTTCTTATCTGAACTTAGCTCATCTCCCCTCCTATGCATCATCCTCACTGAAAAATCCCTTGTTTGGCTAGAGAGGGTATTATTCTTTTAGCATTGTCTAAAAAATTGATTTGAGAGGAATTAAATGCAAAACAATGCAGTTTTACTTTTGAAAAAACAAGGAAAGCATAAATAATCATCCAAATCCTTGGCCTCTTTTTGCGTCAACCCTGCTTTACAAAACAACACATCTATTAAAACATACAGACTTCAAAAATAAAAAATGACACTGCACTTTAGATATGGGGGCTGACAGCAGTAAGCCCATTGCAAATTTCAAAATTGTGTGATCTGCATTCTTGTCCACCTACACACTATCCCAAACATCCTGCCATTAATTAGCTTAACATTCCAGCTAGTAAACAAGAATAACGATTGAGGGGGCTGGAAAAAGAGACGGAGTCAGCCAGTAGATAGTCACAACAAACCAGCCCACTCACTGGTACACAGACACATTAGAGCTTTTTTTTTTTTCTTCCATGGAGGGGAAAAGAAAATCACCTTAATATAACACTGCCTTTCCTGTCACTGCAGCCACATCCATATTAGCAGGCTAGAAAAGTCATCCCATTTCTGCGGTAGGCACTCTGTCAAAGAAAGAGAAAATCTGTAATGAATTATCACATCAACACAAACAAGGGAAGAAGGCAGAGCAACGCAAGGCTTTCTTCCTGTTTTGTAGACTATTCTGGCTGCAATCTAATAGTGTGCTTAATCTGAACATTTCTGGTCGGGAAGCAATGAGCAACCACTTTGTCTATTAAAAAATCAGTGTGGTTAACAAGTGGTTAGTGATTCTATTTCAAGAGAGCAACAGATATGCAAAAAGATGACATATTATTTTGTTAATTGCCTACAAAATATGTGGGGACAAAAATATACTATTATGCTGAATCTGTTTGTCCTTTAAAACCATGTGTTCTCTATTCACATCGCTCAGAATCACTTCTAACCTAAAAATCTTAATAGTCTATAAATTACTGACTCATTACAGCTTTTCCAGATTTAATTTATAGTCTGGGCCAAAAGCTATATAAACAGCCACTAGTATATCCTCCCCAAACCAAATTAAACTTAAAGGAGTTCTGTGCAGTACAGAAAACTTTGATCTCCCATATAGTGTAGGCTAGGATCAAGTCGTTCCACTGATAAAGAAATGGGAGGGTTAAACAGTAGTTGAGAAAGAGAATTTTAATAAGATATAGTGCTATATCTTACTAATATATCTTCCGTATACTTTAAACATCTCCTCCTGAATTAATGCAGGAAGTTATGCCTCCTTTACACAAAAACTGGACACCACAAGTTTTAAGGGGATATTGTCAAGTTAAAATGCATATTGTTGAAAAATATTTCTTTATTTGTCATACTAATAACATCTTCAAAATTAAAGAATTTTAAATGACTTTCGCCATGCATACTGTTGGTTTACTTTCTGTTTGTCACTCAGCTTGGAAAATGAAAATAGATTAGTGTGTTTCACTCTGCTTATACTCTAGTTCTTAGTCAGGTTCACTTTCTGCCTCTTATGTAGAGCCACATAGGAACTGTCATATATGATCAGACCGTCTAGTGCAACATCCTATCTCTGGCAGTAGTTATTATCAGCTGCCTCACAAGAAAGGCTAAAATGACCATAGCGGATAATTATGCATAATCAGCATAATGCTCCAATGTGTGTGAGGAGTATGAGCAGACACTGTTGAGGAATATATTTATCTCCATATAGAACTTTTTTCTCCACTGAAGTTTTTGAAAAATGGTAGAAACATTTTTATTTTTCTTAGTTTTGGAAAACTTGGGACAGATTCTAATCTCAATTCACAAAACCTAAGTATGGTGCCTGTCATTTTAAATAGATGTCTCTTTAGTTGTACCTATCCATTACCACCTTTGTGTTTCTCTGGGTGTTTATATATAAACTCTGAATTTATTTTCTAACTAATATGAGCATAATCAATTTCCCCTCTTTGGAACTGGATACTGAATAATGGTGTTAAATGAGTACAAGGGTTAGTGTCGAGTAACTTTTTGAAGTAAATGATATGTATACTGAATTTTAAGTGAATAGACTTAACACCACCAATCAATTTCTACAGAGAGAGATTTTCAGACACACTGAATATGCAGAGAGAAAACATGCCAGCTATTTACTGTAGCACCCTCTATCATACAAGTCATATTACAATATACAGATTGAACAGTATTAAAATAAAAAAGAACATTAGTCAAAAGGATACACAGCCAGGCATCAGACAAGACAATACCACCACACAACACAAGACAATAAAAAAACCCAATACCCAAACATGAAATATACAAAAATAGGCCAGACAATAACTTTAATAAAAGGATACAATATATTCCCACAACCACAAGCATAAACTCCCAGGGAGTTTGGATCTACAGCTTGCCCAAACCATTATGGCTGGCATTTTGAAGTCCATGCAAAAATAATGCTTTAGTTCCTTGACCTCAATATTTTACAGAATTTATAACCACAGCGACAACCTTTAACACATAAATATCACATTTAGGGCTACTGTGCAGTTTACATTGAGATAAATGAACCTGAGACTAATGTTGGATTCACATGAAAGATAAATGGTTATATTCTGTCCTGTTGGGGAAAGGATTTTTGGCTGAAAGGCAGACTCAGGCTTGGCTGTGCTCACCTGGGAAATAATCAAGCTTAAAATTTTCCAACATAGGCAACATTATATGGTTCCCTATACCCTAAAGAGGTCATTTTAGAAGCAAGTTTCAGAGCAAGGGAAGACAACATCTTCACAAAAGCAGGACACTCCACTAGCCTATAGTTAGCAATATATCATAGTTAGTGTCTACTATAGTTAGGGCTGCAAATAAGTTTCCTACTTAACTCCCTGTTTTCACTCATCCATCCTTAGGCTGAAATTTTCCATTCTTTAATCGCTGCCTGAAGCTGAATTTTTCTGGGAAGTCTGAACAAAATCCCTTCAGCTGTTTTGGAGTTCAGAGAGAATGAAAACAAAACACTTCTCCCTTCCAGTGCCTGCCAAAGTGATTTTCATCTATGTACATTTTATTGAATAACTTATTTATAAATGAGTGCCTCTCATCCACAGTGGTCTCAAAGTAATTTACCTAAACATGGGCTGTACCTCCAACCTCATCCCAAAGAGAATGTTTCCGGAATGGGTCCTTTATAGCAGCAGGGAGCTTGAATCATCCGGTTCCAGAGGAAGACAGCACTTCTACCTAGTTCTGATATATCAGGACATCACACCTTAACATCTAAACACTGTTATGCATAGGAAAGCTATTTTACAGGTATCTAAAATGTATTAGTCAGAATATTTATCTCTAAGGTCTATGACAGTTGGATTCACAGTATTGAAAGCCATGGCTCTCCAGGCCAAGATAGGTGAACAACATTTTCGTTTTTTAAACAGGAGACCAACTATGGTGTGGCATAAAACAAAGGGTTTGGCCAGATTCTTATGTATAACAAGGCTACCTAATATCACTCTGGCAGCATACAGCGGTCTTGGTGTAAATGAAGATCTGGCCCTTTTTCTTCACTTGTTTGAGATGACTTGTAGAGCCAACCCCTGGCTTCCCACTTCTAAGGGCTGGTCCACACTAACCCCCCAGTTCGAACTAAGATACGCAACTTCAGCTACGTGAATAACGTAGCTGAAGTCGAAGTATCTTAGTTTGAACTACAAGGTACTTACCGCGGGTTCACACGCAGCAGGCAGGCTCCCCCGTCGACTACACCTACTCCTCTCGCGGAGCAGGAGTACTGGTGTCGACGGCGAGCACTTCCGGGATCGATTTATTGCGTCTAGACAAGACGCGATAATTCGATCCCAGAAGATCAATTGCTTACCGCCGAACCTGGAGGTAAGTATAGACGTACCCTTAGTAACATGGCAATCCCAAACTCATGCCAATAAAACCTTTACACCATACTATAGCCTCATGTATCCTCTGTCAGGGCCGCCCAGAGGGGGGGCAAGTGGGGCAATTTGCCCCGGGCCCCGCAGGGGCCCCGCGAGCCCTGGCCCGGTGGCGGTCCGGGTCTTCGGCGGCAGGGGGCCCTTCAGTGCTGCCGAAGTACAACCGCCACAGCTCCCCCGCTTTGCCCCAGGCCCCCTGAATCCTCTAGGCGGCCCTGTCCTCTGTATGTGTATCTTTCTTTCTTTCTTTAAAAGAGTCACATCATCAATCTCTTAGGAACAGTTACAGCCCTAAATTTATTTAAGCAGATTTATACTTGTTGATAGCAAAAATGTCCTTCTCTAGAACTCGTACTGTTACTCAATAAATGTAAGTCATCTAGCAACTTGAGTTTTTATAAACAGTATGAAGTCACTGGCATTATTTCTATGTTTTGTCAGGAGGAGAAAGGGAAGATCACTGTTGTGCTATCTCTTAGTCATGTGCAAGCAACTCCATTCCTTTACCTTTGTTTGGATGAGAGAGGGCAGAACTGTTTGTCTAGCTACAAAATGGAAGCTGCATACTATTATGATGCAGATTTAGAAACCAAGCCTGAGAAATAGGTATTCTGTCAGGGACGGTACTTGGTCCTGCTAGTGAAGGCAGGGGACTGGACTCGATGACCTTTCAAGGTCCCTTCCAGTTCTATGAGATAGATATATCTCCATCTAATAGGTATTCACCAAATGTCTCCTTGAATGCTACAAAAAGGGGCTCTAATCTTTTTGCCCTACACGTTTTTCTTATTCACATTAGCGAGAGATGTGCAAAGAAACAAAGGGAAGAACACTACTCCTATCCCATAATAAGTGCCCAGGGTCATTCAGAATGGAACACAACTTACCGTACATCCAACGGCCATCGCGATGTCACCTTATTGAATCGGCGTCACCGGGTTTTTCAACCCAGACATATTGAAGCAGTGAGTCACAGAGGAGAGCCTGAACCAAACCCAAGAATTTGAATATTCCTGAATTTGTAAGAACTCCAGATCAGAATCCTAACACTGCTGGACAGACCCAGCTCTAGTTAAGTTCTATTATTGCATGAATTATTTCACTGAGGTAACATGATGTGAGAGAGACTGATACTAGGCTGAGAAAGAAACAGATGTGCCATGATTTTTGAATTGGTTGGCTTGGGTTAAATCTTTCACATTTCTGAGTAGCACAACCCCGGTGTACATTCCAAGTGCTAAAGTATATTGGGCCAAATTCTCGACTGGAGTAACTCTGCAGTTCCATTTACTTCCGTGGAGATGCGCCAATTTACACCCGCAGAGAACCTGGTGCATTGTGTCACTGAAAAATTGTCTCTCTCTGAATTAAGGGCCCTTTCTATCCAAGTTGGGCAATAGCTTTTTCAAAACTAGAAGGCTTGCTTTCTTGTTGTCCTTGTGTATGTGGGTGGGCAAGTGATTTGATTACAAAGCGAATGGCGGATTGAGACACCAAAATCAAAGCAAAAGCATTGGCTGAACTTCATTAGCAAGCATAAATACAAATAGGCTCCACATCTTGTTTGTGATATACCATGGGGCTTTCCTCCTTTTAATAATTTTGCTCTAACCTCTGATATTTGCATATATGTAAATTGAACC